AGAGAGAGAGAGAGAGAGAGAAAGAAGGAAGAGTTGGTGCATGAATGTAGGAGTGTGCGTATGTATATGTGCATGCTCTTTGCATATTATGTTTGGTGCTTTTTTGTGCTTACAACATGAAGTCCATTGCCTTTGGTAAGAATGACAGGTATAGCAAGGGGGCGAATGAAGGAACAGAATCTCGTCATATTAGAGAGAGAAATATCTCTGTTATATTGAAATAATACATATCCCTGATTTTGTCAGAAGCTTGTCTTTCTGTTGATATTGATCATGGAAATAAATGGGTTTTTAAAAATATTTTTGAGTAGTTTGAACACGGTTTTCAGGTTGTAATATTTTCACAGTATTTGTTTCTTTTAACTTTGGTGTCCACAGAACAGGTTGCTCACCTGTGATATCTTGACCAACCAACTGTATCACAAAAGGGGTTGTTCACCTGTTAACTTCCTGCCTCATATGACCTTATGCTGTTGCAAGCGCTGTGAAACCTCTATTAAAACTAACTTCTTACCACTTGGCTGGAAATGGGCGCATGGACTAGTCAATGTCTACTGCACAAACAGTGTATACAGTAGACATCGGTTTTCACCGGTTTGCAGAGATGGAATATGTACAGGGAGAGACAATTTGCCTGTTTGTAGAGATGGAATATGTACAGGGAGAGACAATTTGCCTGTTTGCAGAGATGGAATATGTACAAGGAAAGACAATTTACCTGTTCGTAGAGATGGAATAGGTACAAGGAAAGACAATTTATCTGTTTGTAGAGATGGAATATGTACTACGACAGACAAGCACCCGATCTGTTGTCACGCCGATGATCTGTTGGGACGAACACACTGGCCAGGTGTATGTTCATGTGAAGTAGTCGGGGCCTTAAGGGGGAACATCTGGTTTTGAATGAACGTTTGAAAACAACCCTGACACCCCCCCCCCCCCACACACACACACACAAAGTAGAATAAAATACAGAGCGTACTAATCTGTACCACCTTCTGTCCTGTTTCTGCTACTCATTTCTTTTTCAATGGTCCTTTCTAGACACGTATTACATGTATTCTCTAACTAAATATGATATTCCGCATCAACGTCTGTAGCCTACTGTCCAAGGCTTGACACAGGATTATTTCGTATTAGAAGCCAAGTGCTGACAAGAAGACAGGAAAAAGTTAGGGGATGGGCCTCCTCCAACCGCCGAATCATTTCGATACTAGGCCTACTGTTTTGATATTGGCATCCCACGTGATGTGCATGTTTTCTGGAACGATGTACACTTCTTAAATCGGTATATCCATACAAAAATTAATTTACTGTTGATATCTTTCCTCGGTTTCTACACTTAGATAACTTATGAAAAATGTATCTGCTTTGCACTTACTATTATCATAGAATGTCTGATAACAATTGTGACAATGCAATGCTAAGAAGGCTACAGTCATTTACTGTAATCAAGTCGATGTGTGTTTTCCATCTTTCAGTAAGTTAGGCCACTGAATATAATGTGAGAGAAGTCAAAGCAAGTTCAGTACGTGAGGCCACTGAGTGTTGCCAGATAAGTCCATGAACTCGCACGCGACCCGTAATTAAGTGTGGCTATTGACTAGATTTAGTGTGCACTTGAAAAAAGGTAAAGATCAGAGCAAAAGTCTATCGCCACGCATGATCTCCAAGGTGAGACAGAGCAAGCCATGCGTGCCCAATACTGCCTTCCTTCCTAAGTTACACTCTGAATGCAAACCTCCCCCCCCAAAAAAAAGTCAAAAACAACTAAAAACAAGAAAGCAAGTACAGTCGTACCGACTGTGACCATGCCATACAAACAACCCGTCTCAACAACTTAGACATTCTCA